ACTACATAATGCAATCAGGCTTATTTGTCTCGGTTCACAATAGAAGCAAGACAAAATTTAGTGGAGCAACTTGTGTTTCGTCGCCAATCTCATGATACATAGCCAATAATGCTAACCCAATAATGTGGATGCTATTAAGCTTTACTGATTCCAAGGAATTTCAGCTAATATAGCAGATTACTTTGTTCCTTAACTTTCTGATTTGATCTAGCTTAATTATTTTTTGCAGGCTGTTTTTATTACGGCAATTTTTCTGAAAATTAAGGTTTCAAATTTCAATCATATTGAAAAGAGTTTCTAATTCTGGAGCTGCAACAGGATCTACAGGGCGAAAGCATCTTTTGATGCCCATTAGACAAAAAGTGGAATTGCTGCAAAAAATGGATAAAAGTATATCCATCTCAAAATTATGCGAGGAGTACGGCATTTGAAAAGTCAACAGTATATGTCATAAGAAAACAGAAAAATGAACTTTGTGAAGATTCTGACACCCCACTTGCAATGAATAACAGAAAAATTATCCATTATGCTAAAAGTGAAGATCATGACAAAGTGATAATTGAATGGGTCAGAGAGCATCACAGAGAGTGCGTGCCACTGACAGGTTAAATGCTAATGAAGCAAGCTAAATTATTTCACTAAGAAGTGAACTTAAAAATTCAGTGCACATATTAGACAGGTTAGTTAACCAAATTTAAAAATCATCATGGTATAAGGCAATTAAGAATTTCAGATAAAAAAGCTTCAGCTGCTCAACTATTTGTAGATGAATTCATTAATAGTTAAAAGTTATCTCTAGAACAAATTTACGGCACTGATGAAACTGGTCTTTTCTGGCAATATGTAATGTAAAATATCTTGGCAACCTTCATAGAAAAATGCTCCAACTCATGTCAAACTTCCAAAACGAGACTAGCAATTTTAGCATAAGCAAATGTGGCAGGAATGAACAAGTGTAAACTTTTCGTAATTGTGAAAAATACAGACCTTGAGCATTTAAAGTAAGGAGAAAAAGTTTCCTGCTATACAATCGTGCAAATAAAAGAACACGGATGACACAAGTGTTAATGAATGATTGGCTTGAAAATCATTTTATATCTGAGGCTCAACAGAATTGGGTATGTTTACCTCGTAATGCAAAAATTGTTATGATCATAGACAACTGTTCGGCTCATACTTAGGGACTGAAAAAATTTAGAACTTAGGGATGCTCTTGGTAGCAGAATTTAGGACCCGCAGAGACTGCATCAGGTGGTATCAGCGCCGGTACAAGTATCTGTTTGAATTTATTTATTATTTATAAGCCTTAAGCATGTGCAAGAAATTGATATAAGTATAACAAATAACTAAACTAATACAATTAGGCTTAAATGCCTCAGTGCGTGATAGAAGCAATATAAAATTTAACGAACAACTTGTCTTTCGTCGCCAATCTCATGATACATAGCCAATAATGTATAGAGGGCACTATTAAGTTAGGCTAAAATAATGCTTTACTGATTTCAAGGAATTTCAGCCAATATATTAGATTGTGCTGTTCCTTAACTAGCTGATTTGTTTAAGCATAATTATCTTTTGCAGGCTTTTTTTTTTTTTTACAGCAATTTGATGAAAATTAAAGTTTTAACTTTCGATCATGTCGAAAGGAGTTTCTAATTCTGGAGCTGCAAAGAATCTACAAAGCGAAAGCATATTTCGATATCCATTAAACAAAATGTGGGATTGCTGCAAAAAAAATGCCAAAATTATGCGAGGAGTATGGCCTTGGAAAATCAGCTGTATATGACATCCGAAAAAGGAACATTTCAAATATTTTGTGGATTCCGACACCCTGCGCGCATTGAATAACACAAAAATTATTTGTTATGCTAAAAGTGAAGATCAATGCAAAGTGATAATTGAATGGATCATACAGCATCATAGCTAGGGCGTACCATTGAGGGGTCAAATGCTAGTGGTGCAAGCTAAAATATTTCACTAAGAAATGAACTAAAAAACTGAATGCACATACTCAACTGGTTGGTTAACCAAGTTTAAAAATCGCCATGGTATAAAGCATTTAAGAATTTGAGGTCAAAAAGCTTCAGCTGATACTGAAGCTGCTAAAATATTGCAGATGAATTGAACTCGTCAATAGTTAAAAGTTATCTCTAGAAGAAATTTACAATGCTGATGAAACTGGTCTTTTCTGGCAATATGTACCGCAAAATACCTTGGCAACCTCTATAGAAAAGGCTCCAACTTGAGTCAAAGATTCCAAAGCTAGACTAGCAATTTTTACATATGCAAATGTGGAGAAAAAGCACAAGTGTAAACTTTTCGTAATTGGTAAAAATAAACGACCTTGAGCATTTAAAGGTGTAAAGATTTTCCCGTTATATATTGTGCAAATAAAAGAACACAGATGACACAAGTCTTAATGAATGATTGGTTTCAAAATCATTTTATACCCGAGGCTCGGCAGAATTCTGTTAGTTTACCTGATAACAAAAAAATTTTCCTGATTGTAAACAACTGTTCGGCTCATACTTCATTTAAAGTTTTAGTGAACTTCAAATTATGCATCAGTCGTTCAGCCTATGGATATCGGAATAGTGTGTTTTCTAAAATGGAAATATAAAGTAGAATTTTTTAAATCCATGTTAAATTTCTTGAATGATAGCAAGACTATTCAAGAATTCTTTGAAACATTTTAGCTTAAAATCTACTTTTGAGGAGGATGTATCTCCAGATACTGTAGAAAATGCTTGGCATAATTTATAGCCACTTAGCATATTTTGTGGTGAGGTTGATGAATATGATAGCCGCAAGCGTGAAGGTTTTCGGATATCGCAAACCAAAGATTAAATTTTCCAGTTAATGGAATTTTTAAAGAAATGTGGAAAAGCAGTAATAAATGAAGATGATATACCAAAAGTTTTTAATTGCGATGACATTGCCCTAATTATGAATCTATTAACGGACAGCGAAATCTGTAGTATGGTTCTATATCCAGAAAATACTGATACCAATAGTGAAGAAAGTGACAGACATGTTATTGGAAATGAAAAAATTTCGATTGACAAATTGGAATTCTCGACACAGCAATTACAGGACTTGAACAATGGAACTTTGTAACTCACTAAGAAATTATGTCTGTCTACAGAATTAAAGAATTAAATAGAAAATATTAGCACAAAAAAAAAAAAAAAAAAAAAACTTAAATTGAAAGAAATGTTTAATAAAGTATACAAATAAATATTAAGCTTTTTTTAAAATTTTGATACTCTTTAGATCATAAATGCTTCATGATTTCATATTTTTAATTTTATAATTTCTACATGCCATTTTACAAGTGTTAAACTGATGATCTTACATCTAGAAAAATCCCAAATCACTAATCGCCGAAGTCCCGATAAGTCTGGATCGCGGACTTTGTACTGTATTTGAAATTCTGTTTGTTATTCTGATGATAAATTTGGGGGCGGTTGGTTTGAAATCAATTAAATTGTTGCATACATAATATAATTAAAGAAATCAAGTTAGTAATTAATAAAGAAATGCGTCGCTGCAAGATTTTTCTATTTTAAAATAGGTCAAAAATTTGTTGAGAACAAGTTATATTTAAGAAACCAAAGAGCCGCAAAATCACAGCCACAGCTCAACCACATCTACTGTATACAGTAGTTACATTTAAGAAAATTCTAAAATACTTTTTTTTTTTTTTTTTTATAACAACAAAAAAAAAAAAAAATTTTTATAACAACAGAGTGAGAGAAGCCTTGTGACCATTCTTTCCCTTTCAAATTCCAAGCTCACTGTCTACTCCAACACTTGTGAAAAAAGGGCTGAAAAGGGGCAGGAAAGTTTGCCGCTTTCTTGCAGAGGCGAGAAGAGGTCTCTCTGACCATTTATGAGGTTGGCACAAAATTTTCACTCATGTAAAAATTCATGACTGACCACTGAAAAGAAAATTCGAAGCTAAGGCGGGTGTTTTCTTCATGTCCACTGTGTTTCTTGACAAAAGGGAGTCGTTACAACATAGACATATTACCAAAGGAAGTCATTACAAGCATATATATAATTTAAGCTAAATGTATTTATAATGAGTACAAACCCTTCCATTAATGGGGTGGTCCCATCAGTGGCTGAGTGGTTAAGACAGCTGAATGCTGGGAGTTTGTCCTGGGTGAATGGGCTGGCTGCACAATTGGTTTTTGTGTATTCTCATATGTAATGGAAATATGAGCCAGTTTTCCTTGGAAAGTCCTCTGCGAAGGCATCTATAGCCCTAATTTGCTTTGCCATATTCAAATTGAGCAAATCTATTAACACCAGTCACTAAATGTGGTAGTCTATTTATATAACACCATGAACAGCTGTACAGTGATAATAAACAATGAAGAGCAATACATTTTGATCAGTAACCTGTTGCATAACCTTTGGCCTGCAAAAAGGTTGCTACTCACTTTGGCATGGATGCCACAAGTTCTTTCATCATTCACGTTTCCAATGAATCATCTTATATTTTTTATTTGTCTCAAAGTAAAATTTTTATTCTTTAATTAAAATTTAACTTTCACACAAGACTCAAAATAGGAAATATTAGGATTGTACGTATAATACCAGATGGGACAAACATAAATAATTACACATTGTGTAAAATGGCATTATGTGTACTTTCAAAGACTAAAAGGAACATTTTCATATCTGAATTTGGTTTGCATTTATTAGCTTCCCAAATCAGGGAGTTCTTTCTGCTACATCCTATACATGGTTAATATAATTATTCTTGGAGCATTAACACTGCAAACTAATACTTGATTATAATCATTTTATTTGTATATTTTTTGGTGAATTCTGAATCAGATTTTTTTCACGCTTTTGATTAAATAATTTTTGAAGGTTTTTGATATAAAACTTTATTATTTAATCTTCTATTTCATGTGACTATGTTAACATTTATGTATCATGTTATTTTTTAAAAGAATGTATTGTCAAATTTGAAATAACTATATTAGATTTTCTATATAATTAATAAATTGTCTGTTTTCTTCCTAGCTGTACCTATTTTATCCTTTAAAAGGTTTGCAGGTCGAAAATTTCAGCAAGATTCACGCCAAAGACGTAGGCCTCCTGGTCTAAAAAGACTGGATGGTGATTATGTAAGAAGAGGAGAAATTCTTGTTTCACAGTTCTATTTGAACTTTCATCCTGGTCTAAATGTAAGAATAATCTTTAGAATTAATAATTTTATTTAGATGAGTTTTATTAAGTTTTGAAACAAAATAATTTAGAATTAAAAATATGAGAGCAAATTAAAAAGTAAAATGTTATTTAAATGGAAGATCAGGAAATACTTAAATTATTGCATAAAAATGCCAAATTTTGCATGGATATTTAAGTATTTAAAAATAGTGCTATTGATTATATACACTCACCTGTTTCTGCTGAGGGTGAAAATCTTATTTTGACTGATTACAAGTTCTAGTATTAATGGAATTCAACAATTAAGTGTATCATGTAAGCATTTCATATCAAAAAGATTAAACACATATGAAAGAATGAGAAGAAATTTTAGTAGATGAGATGTAAAATTCTGTATTTTTCATGAAACATTATTTTAGATAAAAGCACAATTTTACATTCCCGAGTTTATGTTTACTGCTAAATTATTTCTGTTACTTTTCCATTTTGACGGTGCAGGTGATTAAAGTCACCAATAATGATACAACCAATGCCAAACAGAATATCCTCGCTGGTAACCTTTTACGCCTCATTTTCAAAACAAGTTGCAGCCATTTCTTATCAGACTGATTGTTTTTTTCAATACTGGCATACAATTACGTATAATTTTTACCAGATAGTTTAATTTTATGCCCCAAGGCCATTTACGGTAATTAAGTCAATAAGTAAGCAATCACACCATTCACTCAAAGGCGAAAATATAGAAAAGGCAAAGTTGAGGGTTAAATTCATCAATTATAATGAGAATGCCCTAAAGAAGTAAAGCACTGTTGTTTTACATAACTTCTTTGTAAGCTAATCGTATGAATTGAAATAATTCTTGCATTTAAACTTGCATTCCAAATTAAAATTTAACTTGAAATTAATTTAGATATCTGAGAGAATTAGATTTTTGTAGCGTAGTGACTGAGATGATTCACTTTGGGTCACGTGATACAAACCGCGAATCAGATGTTGTACGTAAGCAAGAAATTCTAATTAATGTCTTTTACAATTATTGTCTTTATTTATTGGCTTTTTACAAAATTTTAAAGGATATTAAAATATTTATGCCTTCAAAATAAAAAATTCGTAGAACTAACATTTTTAACAGTAGTTAAGTTGTAGAGATATTAGATATTTTTTTGGAAACAGGAGACGTGAAAAATAAGCAATGCCTTCGCCGGTAATCGAACCACGGACTTCTGGAATACACGCCCAGCGTGCAGACCACAGCACACCATGAAGGCATGCTAAAAAGGCAAGAGAAATATCTTATATACCCCCCCTTTTAAAGGGCAACTGGGGTGTTTTAGGGGACCCAATCGCAAAATCATGGGTGTGAAGAGTCATCATCCACCACCCTTTTAATTCAGACGCCACTGTAGAGATATTAGGTATTTTTTGGAAGCAGCCAAGATGAAAAATGAGCAACGCCTTTGCTGGGAATTGAACTAAGGACCTCTGGAATACGTGCCCAGCGTGCAGACCATCACACCACGAAGGCGGGAGAAATACCTTATAAAGTATGTGGCGTCTTTTCTTTCTTTTTTCTTTTTTTTTTCTTTTTTTTTTTAATGTAATGCTGTAAATGTGTGAAAATCTGTGATGGAAATTATTGACAATGGATCCATGCAGCCTGGCATTTGCAGTATTTTACTGTGTTCATTAAAATTTCATATACACTAGAGATATCAGGCAGATAGCCAGATGAGTTTAGTGCCATATATTCAGCAACAGTCAGAGAGTTTTGATTATCCTGCACACCGTAATTAAGATATATAACAAAAAAAATCCGCATCTTTCATTGCAGGTTTTCTGAATTTCCTTCTTAAAATATTAGATAAAATCTTTTTAAAAGGAAAAATAGTTTTGAAGCCATTTGTTTACTCTATAAACTTTCATGGTGAGCTTTTTTACTAAAGATTTATACTTTTTTTATGTTATTTTGAGAATTGAGAAACTGTGCTGTAAAAATAGTTAATCCTCAGCATTTGGGGGGGGAAATTATCTGTTGCATTTTTTTCATGGAGAAACCTCATGTACATAATATTTTGACTGTATTTCCTACTAGCTAATGATGAAGAATGTTTATTAACCATCTTTTAGATAGATAAATGTAATTACCTGTATTTTAATTTTATTGTCTTTCAGATGATAATTTTTTTCTACGATTGGCTTCGAAAGGTGTTCATTTTACTCTTCAATAAAAATTAATAAGTCATTTGGTTGCACATTCTGTATATTTGAAGTATAAACTAGTTCTGCAAAGCACTTCTCCCCCCCCTTCTTAATTAAAACAGAATTTTAGTCTTTAAGATTCATTCTGTTAATAATGAGTTTAACCTTTTTTTTTTTTTTTTTTTAAGCCTTTTAAGGGGAAAGCTTTTTCAAATCACTTAAATTGTGCACCAAATGTTTCATGACAGATTTAAAAAATTAATAATAGAAGCTGTATGTATATTTCTTCATATGTGGAAAAACGATGGCATCTAGAGCCACTGAATTTTTTATGCGCATAGTCCCTTATGCGAACATAGGCATCTCATAGCCTAAATTTTTAATTTGTTTTATATTTATTTCATATTTTATACAAATTTAATGAATTTTTGTTTAACAAACTCAGCAGTTTGAAAAAGAAATGGCAACACTATTCAAAATAAAACATTTTTATTTGCAGTATGCTAGACTGCTGCCATTGGGAAAAACGTGAGCAATTTATCTTTCAATTTTAATCCATCAATTCGGGTATTTGAAAGCATAGTTTTATTGTGGCCAATATATCAATAGAATACTTATTATTCCCACGCAACAGCCTGTTGTCAGTCAGAAAATGTAAGCTATTTAATCTTTATATTACTGAGTAGCAAATCAAGTGATTGAAAAGTAATAAATGCAGTTTTTAAAAATACTTTTTCTGCTTTTTAATCTGATTGTTTTAAATAAAAATGCATTGAAGTGATGGGGTGTCTAATTAAAATTATTAAATATATTTATGAAATGACACTAGGTGGACTCATGAAAATCATTATAATTTTTGTTTTAAGATAACTTTTGAGACGGCTGGCCATTCAAGTGATTAATTTCAAGAATAATACAGCAAATATATTTTAAAAATTTCTACACTGTCTCGGGATTCTAAAAATAATGTTTTAAATTTTTGTATTGTCTGAATTTATGTGGCTCAATCTTCGGTGCAACAGAAAAAAAAAAAAAAAAAAAAAATCTGAGCTGTTTCAGATTTCTTTTAATGGAGGGGGGAAGAAGATTTTTTAAATCCTGGATCTAAAATAATTGGTATTTGTTAGAAATAAATATTTGCATTTCTCCCGTTCGCGATTGTGCTGAGCAGAAAAGGCGAACTATATAGCTGTGCAAAAAGTTCCTGCCAACGGAGACAAACGAAAGAAAGAAAGGGTTGTGTGTCTTCCCGATTCTGATGGTGCTGAAGTCTGACCTCTGTGCTACACCTATCTGATGATGTTTGCCAATGTAGCCAGCAGCTGTGATTCTCTCAAGCGTGGTGCAGAAACGTGATGCATGGAGTCCTAACAAGGAACAGTGCAGTGAAGATAAGAATCTACACAAGCATTCCAGATTATTGTTCTACATCTCCATATACCTGCCTATATGAAAAAACCTGTTAAGCAGAATCAAATCATAGTGTACAAATCTAGTGCATTTGTATGTTATTCATCGTACAAGTTCATTAATGTGTCATTGTCTGACACGTATGCTCATCTATGTTGTTAAATCTTAAGGATAGAAAGTCACTGATTAAGTCCTATATTATTTTTTCAACTTGGTGCAGTTTATACTTCTGTAGCAGAGAACCTCAGCTCTACACCCACCACTACACATAACTCTCAAGCTTCTTCAAAGAACACCAAATCTTCAAATACAATGGTATTGAAAAGTGCAAATTCTGTGGAATCATGAAGAAACATTAATTTATATTTTCATTTTAACACATCTTTTATTATTCCACCATTTTGATGGTAAATATCGATTTAATGTTACCGTTATTGGGGTAACTTTTGAAATTAATGGTTTTTGCTGAAATCATTTCTGTACTGATTTCTTTGAAAGATCCAGTATAAACAATTTTCAGTTAGTAACTACTAATCTGTAAAGTTAGATCTTCATTACATATAGTAGCACATAATGATATGTATTTTTGAATCGGATAAATGGTTCGATTCTATATTTTTTAATTCAAATAAATGGCTCAGCATGTAATATGAATAATTCCAGCATGTTGTAAAGTCTTGAAAAACTTCTTATGCTTTCATGAAGTTGTTGTTCAAGCATATGTTTAAAACAAGAGCAAAATAGTCTTGAATAGGGGGTTTACATAAAGTTGGGCTACTTGTATTATTTTATGAAAACCCTGATTATCACAAGACAAAATATCACAAGACAGTTTTACTGCTTTAGGATGATTGTCTCATAATTTTCTGCAACCGTTTGTAATATTTTTGTAAAATTTAATATTTTTCCTGAAACATTCTACACTTCACCATTGCTTTATTTTGAACTGTTTATAAACATTAAGCACATCATAGTGCATTATATATATTGTAAAAGCACTGTTCATGTATTTCAACATTATACTAAGCAATTGTTTTTAAAACTAAATGGAGTTATTTAAAATAAAAAGTAGTAGGAGATTTTAGGCAATTCAATTACATCATCTATAAATTTTCTAAAGTTTCCATTTCTACTAGTTTCAGGTATGTTATCATATATGACTAAATATTTTCTTTTCTAGAATACTATTATATTTACCAATTCATTTCCACTACAATTTGCAAACATTCAATCATCATTCATCATCAAAATCGCATTATAAAAATTTTGCTCATTAATTTTGATGTTCCTGTAAGTAGAATTTTACTAAATTAAGCTTCCTCAATATGCATTATTATAATAGAGCATTTTTATATAAAGATATTAATGTCCTTTGTTAATGTTTCCAAACTTTGACAGTTTCTCTCAT